AAAAGGGAGTAAAGAAAGAAAGGGCTGGAAAGAAAGATGAACATGCAGGTGCTAGTTTAAATCAAGCCAGAGAATCAAGCAAGAGTGAAGAAACTGAAGCTGTCGTACTTCAGGTACACCCTGAGGAGGCAAGAGCCACTGAAGATGATCTTGTGAAGGAAAGTGAAAGATAGGAAGAGGAGGTGGACTGCATGAAGGAAGCCACGACCCTGAGTTTGCTGGCGCTGAGCAGGGCTGTCCAGGATGGGACATTCTGGAGGGCCCCCATTCACGGGCTCCACTGTAAGTCAGAGATGGCTCAACAGCACAAGGGCATGTAGGATTGCAGTCTGAAAACCTGATAACCTGAATGGCAGTCAGTTACTTTTGTTACCCATATCAAATGTCCAAATAGTAAACTAATATTGAAATTTATTTTCTGGATAAAATATTCTTGCAACATTTAGGGAACCCTGTAAGCACACGGGTCTTTCCCCCAAACTCTGAGGCTCCTTCCTGAAGGCCAAATGCCTCCTCTCCTCCATGTTGACTTTTGTGGAAATGAGTGCCATTGCAGGCCATGCAATTTCCTTCTGAGTAGAGCAGGTCATTGGGGTAGTTTCAGTCAGGTGATCCTCATTCAGCACTTCAGTCAGTGTAAGTTTTTTGTTTTGTTCATAGCCTCACACTTGTTTCTTTCTTTCTTTTCTTTTATGACTGGCGGGACACATCCTCTTTGCAGCACCGCTGCCCCCCAGCCCACCGCCCCACTGAGACCCCTCCCTTGCCCCCTCTTCCCCCAAAAGAACCAAAGAGCACCACAAGTTCAGCACACACTGAAGCATATGCTACAGAAACACACAACATACAAAGAGGAATGCCAGAACTGGTCATGAAGGATCCAGGATATGGATTTAAGGAATAGTGTAAGAAGATGCAAGAATAGTGTAAGTTTGGGGCATGCCTCGTGGGACACACCAGTGAGTCAGACATTAGAAGGCCTGCAAACATCTCTAGCATCGATCCCCCCAGTGCGAAGTCCAGGCTCTGAAATAAATGCAGGCTGCCGACATCTACAGATAGGAATGACCAAGTCCGGCTTGAGATGCCCTGCCCTGCCCTGCCCTGCCTGCCCTGCCCTTTGCTCCATCCCAGCATCCTGCTTTGTTAGGCAGTTGCCCCTGGTTATCAGCTTACACAGTGAAAAGGTATTTTGTGAGGGGACTGGGGGGATTTGCACTGGGACATGCACAGCTTAGCTTCTGTGAGCAGTCAAGAGGACAGCTCTCTCCTGACCAGGGCAATTGCCAGGAGGGGTGCCTACTGCCTCTTGGTTGCCCTGCCTGGAAGGTGCTGCCGCAGGGGCTTTAAATCCCTGCAGAGGTGCTACTGTGAATGATCTGCACAATTAAAAATGAATTTTCAAATATTCTTTTTCATAGCAGTTTGTGTACTGTTTAATAAAAGAAAATGCTGGGTGGCCATGAGCACCTAACAAGGTGCCCTGAAGGCCTTTTGAAGGGATTGCTCATAGCTGTTGAAAGGACCGCCATGAAAGGCCTGTTTCACAGTCTCCACCCCCAAAACAGTATGCAAAAGCTGCACTAAGCCTGAAACAACTCGTAGTGGCAGGGTGGCGGGGAAGCCTTGCGTCTCTCAAGCGGTTTCCTGGAATACCTCTGGGAGGCCTGGAGGGCAGTGGAGCCCAGCACGCCATGCCGAATTGCATCCCATGTTGAAGCTCACCATGGGTTGCTTGCATGACAACCAACCTACGGTGGCTTATTGCCAGGGTGGGTTCCATGATGTGCCCAGAGGCCCAAAGTTTGTGTGCATGGATTAAGAAGAGCAGTGCCCCTTGGAAAGGTTAAGTGCTGTCTCCTTGGCCTTCGCAGGTATCCCCTTCCCTTTAGAGCAACATAAATGCATCTGGGGGCAAACAGTTGTGGTTTTCCTAAGCTTTATTGCCAAATAGGGGGAGATTATTTTTGTGGGTATGGGGCAGTTATCCCACAAGGGGATGTTAACCCTTACCTCCCTGTTGCCATCCCTCTTGGAAATGACCTCATAGTTAGCAATTAAACTTGGAAAAATCCTTTTCCATTGCCACCAATAGGCTCTCAGGATTCTAATAACAGATCTTGGATTGATAAATCAATGCAGTGCTAAGGCCCCGTGGCACAAAGCCTGGCAACAACCCTGTTGGAAAGATGTACTAATGAAATTATTGATCTGTGGGTCTATTGTATTGCAGAAAGACAACAGGCATTTAGTTGGCGCATGGAAAAGTCTGAAGGACTGGTTATTCTGTAGCTACATGTAACATATTCTAGGGATTACTAGGCTGGCCAAGTCATTTGGACACAGGTCAGTTGTGAAAAATAGTCATCTTAAAAAACAGCCAACCAACCAACCTTTTATCCTTTAATGAAAATTTACAGAGTCCCCGCCCCCAAACTAATATATTAGCAGAAAGGACGTCCCTGCAACTCTAGTGTGTATTCTATTTCTGAAGTTTTGAATATATTTTCTAATTAAGGCAGCTCAAGATGACAAGATGCTGTGGCTTCCAAACTTCTTAAGTATTTCCCCAATAGCTTCAGCCCTTACCAGTGAAATAACAAGCACTCAGATTGGTGTGGGGATGCTGCAGAGCTAAGCAATTCTTCCAACTATCACCATGGAGCAAATCAGTGATTTGAGAAGTGATTTCATGCTAAGACATCCCTTGCATTAACATTCCAAAGTTTGCCTCCCTTGGCTTAAGAATTATTATGGATTTGGGGCACATTCCAACTTTGCACCCCACTGATTTCCAGTTCTTCTCCATGAAAATCAACTGGCCTTAAGTGCTTAACATTGACTTAGAGCTGCCAACAATCCAAAAAAGGGGAGGAACCAACCCTCCTGCTTTGCCCTTTGCCTTTGAAGCCTTTTAACATGCAGAAAGCAGCAGGTGAAGCTTCTCACAGCATGAAAAGAAACATTATCACCTGCCCATGTCTGCAAGCTATTTGCTCTTAAAGGTACAGGATGGTGACTGCTATGTTGGAAAGCTATTTTACCTGGATGGTATCTGAGTCTTTCCAGATCCACAGATCTCAAGGGTCAATGTAATGCTACTCAAAAGACCTTACTAATAAGATTCTGGATTCAATGGGCATGTTTCTTCTGACCTCCAGAGTACTATACCTGGAGGTCTCAGACATTCATAGGAATTTGCTAGCTATTGGATGCAAAAGGAAAAGAGAGAAACTAGTGTAACAGTATTTTTTTCCTTTATCGTGTTTGCTGCTGAACAACCATGGAAAGACTTTGCTTGACTATCTTTCCCTACAAAACAGCAAAGATTTTATTAGCTCTGAGTCAAGGTGCTCAGCAGGTTATGCAGGGTCATTATGTCTTCAGAGCTAAGTGAAAGACATGAAAAAGATGTTTGTGTTATATTAAGGATTCCTTCACCCTTTAGTAGTATTGAGGCTGTGGTGCTACACTTTTCTAATGGATTTCAACAGAACTTTCTTCAAAGTAGGTGTGCGTAGGATGTGACAATACATCCATCCTAAAGCCACTTACCTCAACCAGCTGTATCAGTCCCCTGTGCCATTAATCAGCTCCAAACTATGGATTTGGCTGTATGTCATTATCCACCTTAAGAGAGACTGGAATGTCCATCTCTCACCTACAAGTACAGAATACCTTGGCCAGGTGCCCCACACCTGAACTAGCAAGGAAACTGTGTTTGGAAGCACTCTGTTCAGAGTACTGGAACACCTTTGTTAGAATGGAAAAATTGTTCCAGGGCTTGTTTGTGTGTGTTATCAAAGTATGATGAAGAACCTGTTAAGTGAATCAATTGGCCTGGAAATTCAAATGTAAGCCAGTTCTGTTTCAATGCATTAAACAGCGTTCAATTTTGTATCCAGACGTTGTAGTTCAAGGGGTTTGTGGATTAAGTTACAAATTGGCACAGTTAAGTCCCTTCAGTGTGAGTTTACTTGTTCATTTCATTTTTATTTCTTTAATCTCTATGCCACCAATGGATAAAGTTTCTTAGATGGTTCACAGCAACTGTAATTGCAATCGATGGATTGCAGTGTAGTTAAGCCAAATGCCATGGTTTTAAGTCTGATTAGCTCCACTGAACATATTCAGTTGGAACAATTTTTTTTCCATTCAGCATAGCACTGGAATATAAATCAACCTACATGAAAGTTCTTCAGCCAAACTGGATGGAAGATAAGGCTTCTAGCTATTTATCCTTTCTTATTGCAGCTCCTTGCCTCAAATGTCATGTCCTGTTTAGATTTCAAGTCTACAAGCAGGGATTCTCCATTTCTAGTAATCTAAATAACTTTTAAGCTTTTATGCACTTATTTTCCAGGTATGTATATATGCCAGGTCATGCTGATTATGAAAGAGCTTATGTATTTTCAAGTTAGGTTTTGAAAAAAGCTGTAATAACACACCACAGCAAAGCTGCATTCACTCTTAGCATATTGTAGTTTCCCCCTAGCTGGGCTTAGAAGTTAATCATTCTCTCTCTAAAATGTTGGTCTCTCTTCAGAAGAAACAGCCAGATCGCAGCACATCTATTAAAAAGGGTAAGTCCCATCTGCCGCACAATCATATGCGCCATTTCTTACCATTAAGTATCAGGTGATTCAGTGGGATTTATTATGTATAAACCTGTCGCTTCCAAGGGTCGCTTCCAAATGCATAGGTTTGCAGCTTAGGATCGAATTCTAAGGTACTTTTGGCTCAAATGTGCTTGCTCCAAACAGCCGTGCAAACACGTCTGCTCTACGAGCCTTCCTAGAGCTAGAAGAAACGATTAGACGGCTCTGTCAGCAGCCACAGTATGCAAACTGAAGTCAAAGAGAGCATTTGCACAAGCCCAGAACTGAGCTGCAGTGAGATCTAGAGTTAAAGCACGATCCGTATGGAAGGAGAGCATTAAGAACATCGCATACATTAGTGGCACTGCTCTAGCAAGGTTAACCAACATAAATATAACTAACCTTGGTATATTTAATCTTCAAATCACTGAGGGGTGCAGGCAAAGCCGGGGGAGTTGGAGCAGAACTGGAATCCGATTTCTTTTTTTCGGCTGACATGTTTTGATTAGTTCCTGAAACACAGGTGAAAGGAGGTTTTAGAAAAGTTCGGGAATATTTGTTCTGACTGAGCACTTAGATTTAATTGTGCCTTTTTATCTGAACTGGCTATGGTATATTTGCATGCAAGAACATGATTGGACGAACAACAGCACAGCAAAGGGGGGAAAACAATTGATGTGTAACACCTAGAAAAGCAGGCTAGGCGATCAGGGGCATAAGTCTGTATGAGGTTACAGTTTTCTAGAAGTTTGCTAATAGCAGCCTGCAATTTTGTACCTAGGGAAAGAGTTTAGACTCTGAAATGTCAGCATAGGTAACCTAACAGGACTTCTCAGATTATTCCAGAGCTTTGGAGATTTAACACAACTCGCTCTTGTTCTTACAACAACCATAGGACTGGCAAAAGTTCAGCAGGTTCAACTTTCTTGGTGAGGAGCTGTGCTGATGAGAATGGAGTACGATTAAAGATGCCAAATCATTGCATATTTCATAACAAGGAGCTTTCCCAGGGGAGGGATCTAGGCAGGGTAAGATAGGGTGAAAATGCCAGTTCAGGCTTTGTTTGTTTGAGAGAGTAATTTACCAAATGCGCAAAGTCCCTTCATATTTGGAATGGCAAGTTTGTAATGACTGAGCACTTTTTAAAAAAGTGAATGTAGGAAAACCAAAACAGATAGATTTCTGCATCCAGGGTTTGATTCCTTAGCTCTCAAAAGTTTGTGTCTGCATCTTTCTGCATTCAACCACATAAATGCCAAGTTACAGTTGCCACCTCTTTTTTTTTTTAATAAGGTGCTCCTTACCTTTGAGAGGTGTACAACATGATCTTCTCCATGCTGGGAACAGCGGTATCAACTAGATTTGGCTGATACGGATGAGTGAGAATGTTGTTTTACTTTGTTTTTGTTAAGAATCTATCAACATTCACAAATGTCTTCATATTGGAAAGGAAAGAACTTGAGAATGAAAAGATTAGACTGAAGAAAATGAAAGTGACTGACTTGTCCCTTCCCGGGGTGACAGAGATGGCCTGTGGCCATACAGCCAACAGTTTTGTGGTATCTTAAAACAACCTGTATTTCTCATGGCATAAATATTTGTCAGCTGCAGTTCATATTTTCAGATGTGTGAAGTATCAGACTTCTCAAACATGTCCCTTCCCCTCCACCCCCACACTAATGCTAAGATTATGAATTCTTACATGAAATTTAGTTAAGAAAGTTAAATTCAGAGGGGTTGCTTCTGAGTAAACATCTATTTTTGATAGATTTTATTATACATGTTTTGTTTTTGCTTTTATTTGTTATTTCTTACTGTCTGCTTTTATTTTCTGTTTTTAGCTGTTTTAAACTTTTTAATTTTTTTCTGATGTTATATTTTAATAGTACTCTTTTTATCTGTTTTATGGACTATGTAGACTGCCAAGTGAGCTTTGACTGTGGGCCAGTATATAAATAAATAAATGTACAGGCAGTAAAGGTTTGGCAAAATGCTGCCAAGCTTATTACTATAGGAATCATGTGGGAAGGAAATGTCAACTGATGCAGCCTTTTCCTGCCACAAAGTTGCAGAGCCAGTATGGTCTGGTGGTTGGCGCTCTGGAAGAAGAACCTGGGAGATCCGGATTCTCGCCCCCACTTGGCCATGAAACTCACCGGGTGACTTTGGCCAGTGACTCACTCCCAGCCTAACCTACCTCACAGGGTTGTTGTCATTTATTTATTGTTGTAAGCCGCCCCGAGGCTTTGGCGAATGGGGCGGCATAAAAATGTTTTAATAAATAAAATAAATAAATAAATGAGGATAATCCACCTCCGGCTCTTCACTAGAGGAAAGAAGGTGGGGTATGGATGTAAGAATAATATGGGGGTGTGGAAAGAGAAGCCATACCTGTTGAACAGGTGATAGAGGGATGCTTCAGTCGGGAAAAACCGTGTCAGTTGAGCTGCTTTCCTTTCTTGGCGGGAGTAAATAAATAAATAAACACACAAACATGCTCGGCCTGCCCCGCCCCACCATGACAGACCGCTCTGTGGCATAACCTACAAACAGGGAGCGTTAGTCCTGTGTGCCCTCAGCAGGAGTTAGAGCGTAGCCTTGCCCTTTAGCCCTGCACATTGCAACACAAGGGTCTTGGCAGAGGGTTGTTTGCCTAGATCTGGCCTGCAGTCTCATTTCTTCTTAAACAGTTTGCCTCTGCCTTATCATGTTTCATAAAAAGGTGGGGAAGTCTAATGTAGGCGATAACACGGCAGTCGTCCCCAGAAGCGCTGCTTTTCAGTTTTCTTTGCTACCTTTAGCCCACATTTCCTCCAAGGATTTCAAGGGAGTGTGCCTGATTCTCCTCCTCACCACCACAACCTCCTGTGGTAGTTTGTCCATGACTAGGTGACTGATCCGGCGTTGCCCAATTTGGAAGCAGATGGAAGAAGATTCTGGATGGATTTATATTCTAGAAATTCTGGATTAACCCAATGATATATTATAAATCTGTAGTCTGTGACTGAGGCTGGTCTTAAATTTTTCACTCCCATGTAAGTACGTGTGATGATTTGGGCAAAAACTTGGTGGTAAAGTTTAAGCCATTGCTCTCGGAACACCTGATCTGAATTGGGGCCATATTGGCTCACACAAGAGTGAAAAAAAGGATCAGCTACATAATTAGCAAAAGATACAGTTTGACTCTTGCTGTATCTGGAGATTGGTAAGTGGAAGGAAGGAAAATTTGCTGTTCGTTTCCAGCTTGCAGTCACTTCTGCTCCCCATGCTGGGGACCCTCCAGCATGGAATGGGGGTTTCTTGGGGCACCTGGAGGCATGTAGGTTGGCCGCAAATCGAGAGGGCAGCATCTGCTCTATTTTGGGCAACATCCCCCCCCCAAGTTTACTTTGCCCCATCCAGATCATTCAGAAAAACAGGAGAGGAACAACTTTCCTTCCATGCACTTCCTTTGGTGAATTTATCTTAGGATCCAACCCACGGGTTTTTGCCAATGCCGGTCTTCCCAAACCTGCTGTCCTCCAGATCTTTTTGGACTACAACTCCCAGCATTTCTGCCCACTGGTCATGCTGGCTGGGGCTGATAGAAGTTGAAGTCCAAAATATCTGCAGAGTAGTGTTTGAGACTGAACCTCACTGGGACCAAGATGTCTTAATTTCATCTCAGAAAGCATAACCTGGCCGTAAAATATATAACGGCAATGAAATTACACTAGTTAAAGTGTCCATGGTTCGGCTTGCAAAAGAGTAGAGGTGGAACAGGACTTGTGCATCTTTTCCTCCACACTATGGGCCCCAATATACCCTTCAAATTTCCTCTGCAGAGTCCCTCAACCCTCCAGAGCAAATTTGGAAGGTGCGCTTGCATTAGTGGTGGAAGGAGAGGATACAGAAGTCACGCTTCACCTGGGCTGCCCTTCTGCTGGTGAAACCACGATACTGAATCCAGTCCAAAGTACATTTATCCAAAATCAGGATCTGTCCAGAGACCATTTGAATGTACTTTCTTAGTACTGAATATTCAGTGTTTCCCCCCACAAATGTTTGCATCAGCACTACCATGTCTTTATTTTTGTCATAAAAATAAATCCAGTGATGCTGTTTGTTTTTCATGGACTAACAGACAAACAAAGCATCATGTTTTCCTTGCCCCAGCAATAACAAGAGAAGTGCACAATGATTTTCCAAACAGACTACCGACAAGGAACAAAAACTTAGTTATGCCGAAGTGTCATTAAAATCATTGAACTGTGAACATTTTGTTGTGTGCTCGGTGCCTATTGATCTCAATGTTGCTTAGACACTCCTTTCTTTGATTTGTGCCAGTTCAGTCCAAAGCACACACGATGGGACTTTCTGTTAACTTCTGTCATGGGAAATGTCATGCACATTTGCATTCACATGTCCTATTGTGTACACAGGGAAGGGGAAAAGAGAAGGCTCTGTAAAAGAAGAGCCGCGCAAGCGCATCAGGACAATCAGATCGTCAGTCTTATGGGTGTTTCCAGACTGGCAACTCTGCGTCTACCCAGGCAATGCTCTTAGTTTATAAATGCAGCTGATTTCCCACACTAAGGGAGGCAACACGCTCTCTCTCTGTGTATGTCTGTGTGCCTGTCTGTGTGTCATGTCCTGTTCACACCAGTGGGTGTGATGTAGTCATGTGGACGGGGGACCCACCTTGCAGTTTGGCATGCATAGTATTTCTCAGCAAGGTGTTTTGAGATTCTGGCCTACAGCTCCCATGATCTTTGACTGTGTTGGCTAAGGCTGATGGGAGTTTGAGCCAGAAGCCTCTGGGAGGTCACCATCTGCCTGTTCCTGCTCTAGAACTGTGTGGGAGGTGGCATGGGGTTGCTGGGAGAAAAGGGAAATTTGTGAGCATTGCTTCCCTTCCCCTTCCATTCACAGCTGTGCTGGATCAAAGAGCCTTCCATGAATGGAAACATGCTGTCGGCTACATCCAATTATTGAAACATCTTATAATGAAATGATCTCCACCGACTTCATTAGAATTTCCTTCCAAATGCTTTATTTAGGAATGTGTTGTGATTGTTTCAAGTGGCTCCCTACTGCAATCAGTAGCACTTAGTGTGGGTTTATACGTTCCTTTTTAATGCACCGCAGCCATTCCAGTGGTCCTGGGGCATCTGCTTGTGTGGACAACATAGCCAAAGCAAATCAACCAGTCATGGAAATGACATCAGTTCCATGTCTGTGGCTGAGTCATTCTCACAGACTGAAATCAAGGGAATTGCTGGTGGCTGTTGCCATTATCAGTGTGTTAACCTGGAATGTGGTCTATATCCATCAGCATCATCTATTGGGAAAAGGCGGAACTGCTGCTGCAGGAGGAGGAGGAGACGACAATGACGAGGAGGAGGAGCCAGCATTCATTTTCAGAAAATTGTTTAAGGACTGAACTATGGAACGTTTTAGAGAAAATGTTATCTGACATGCCCAACACAAACTGACAGAGGTCCTATTTACAAAGTCCAAAGTAATAGACAGTGCAATGCTCACCATATCACTGTGACTTAGCAC